AGAAAATTTTAATAGTTTAGATAATTATTACAAAGCCTAATAAAGTGAAGGCAAGACTGCCGAATTATTAAAAAAAATAAAAATAAAGTAAGGTGGTTAGTTAAGTGTCTTGTCTTCTTTGTTAAGCAGTTTTGTCAGTATTACGTAATGCATATGATAGCTATGACACATGTAGTTCAACCAAGTCACGAGTTAATTCTGACTTTTTATATTACATGTTTCCCTCCTTTAAATATAAAGTCCTCCAAGTATAATGTTAAGATATTAATTAATTCTGTAATTGGTAAATCTTAGATTATCTAACTTTAATTTCTTTTTTCTTATATATATATAATAGGTTCCCAGCTTGAATGTCCATAGTATCTTTTCAAATGATCTGTATTTATTAGGCTTTTAAGAATCCTGCCTTCTATCATTTATAGCTTGTATGTTTTCAAAGCTTCATAGTCATGGATGAAATAGGGCCTTTTTACTTTTTTCTAAGTTTATCGCTATATATCTTCTCCTTGGCCAATTCATAGAGGAGGACTTGATCTCCTATTCTAAATTCTACAGGCTTTATGTTTTTATCATAGTGTTCTTTTTGTTTTTCTTGTATACTTTTAATATTACTTTGAGCTTGAAGGCATTGCTGATTCAACTGTTTAGTGATCTTTTCTATATGTTGATTTAGTGATTAATCCAATGATTCTTCAGGACTTTCTCTTTTTTCTTGTAGCTGCAAGTTTAAGGGCACTATGGTATGTTAATTATACATAAAGTAAAAGGGCTCATGTTTAGTGGTATGGCTCTGTAGGGTCCAGTAAGCAAAAAGTGCTACTAGCAGTAGGGTGTTTCACATGGTTCTGTAGTTATCTACTAACTTGGCTAGTGTTAAACACATGGTTTTGTTAAATTTTTCGGTCAGCTTATTTGTTTGTGGATAGTATATAGCAGACAACTTGTAACAAATAATTATGATTTCATATAAGGCATCCACAATTTTGTTACAAAAAAATCGATCTTGATTTGATAAGAGAGCTTTTGAACTACCATGCTGACAAATAATTTCTTTGTATATGAATCAGGCGATAGTTGAAGTGGTCATATTCGGGATAGCTCGGGCTTCGGGCCACTTTGTTAAGTATTTTGTAGCTACAATGATATAATGGTTATTACTTTCAAAAATATCTTTAAACAAGCTTACTATATCAATACCTACTTGGTCGAAAGGCTCTTCTACATTAAAAGGATATAATTTTTCATGTCTTCGCAGGGCTTCTTAATGCTGACACACATTACACATTTGTATATAATCCTCAATGTCTTTATATATTTTGGGCCAAAAGTATTTATCTTTAGCTTTGTTATAGTCGATTCAACTCCAAAATGGCCAGCTATTAAGTCTGAATATAGTCTATATAGCATCTGTTCTAACTTATTTTTTCTGATTACTTGTAGTAAAGGCTCATTCTGTTTTTTATTTTTTCAATAAAGGAGATTATTATTAATAACATAATAAGCAACTTGTTTTTTAAACCTTTGTTGTTAAGGAAGGTTTAGCCTTTCAGAAATCTCAGTAGTATTTAGATATAATTTAAGTTGCTAATAGTATTGTAAGTTTATATTAAATTTTTTTTTTTTATCTTAACTTTTATCTTATTTTTATTATTACTTAAATGTAAAGTGCCAAGACACCAGTAATCTGGGCTGGATTGGATCTGGATTTAGTTTTATGACTTCTCAAATTATCGAATCGAGTATATTCTTAATCTGTTTTTTTTTTTTTAAAAAAAAAAATACTGTTCTTCTTGACTTGTTTATTAATATTTCTTATCTTTTTTTCTTATAGTGACTTATGAAAAATTCTTAATAGAGCGTCTACGTTGGTGTAAGTTAAACCTTTTTGATACTATATTGTGCAGAAATATTTAACAGCAATTATAATCCACCTTGCAAGTCTCCTAGTAGGGTTTGGATTAATCAGTAACTATTTAAGGGCTTGGTGGTCAGTAACTAGCTCAAATTTTTTGCTATAAATATAAAAGCAGAAGTACTGCATAGCCCAAATAGCAGCCAGACATTCTATTTCAGTAGTAAAGTAATATCTTTCGGGGTCATTTAATCCTCAACTTGTATATGCCACTATATACTCCTTGTTGTGGTTATCTTTTTGTGCCAGTATAGCCCCCAAACCAGTATAAGAGGCATCAGTATGAAGTATAAAAGAGTTACTAAAATCAGGATATTTTAGAATAGATACAGTTATAAGTTTCTGGTTTAATTATTAAAAACATATTTATACGACTCATTCCAATCGAATATAACATTCTTTTTTAATAGAGTATTAAGCAGATATACTATTTTGAAGAAATTCTCAATAAATTTTCAGTAATCCAAAACCAAACCAATAAACTCTCGGAGCTCGATAAGATTAGTTGGAGTGGGAAAATTTCAAACTTTTTTGATTTTTGTCAGATCAGGGATGATGCTCTCCTCATTTATAATATGTCCTAAAAATACTAACTGTTCTCTAAAAAAATAATACTTATCTCTTCCTAGATATAATCCAGCTTCTCTCAGAAAGCTAAAGACTTGTTAAAGATGGTTTAAATATTCTTCAAATGTTTTTGAATAGATATTAATATTATCAAAATAGACTAATACAAATTTTTCAATAATTTTATGAAAGACTTTATTCATTAGCCATTAGAATATAGCCGGTGTATTAGTCAATCTAAATGGCATAACCAAGAATTCATATAAGCCATTCTTGATAACAAAAGCAGTTTTTTTGTGGTCTTGGGGACGCATCTCTATTTGCCAATAACCGCTTGCCAAATCTAGGGTTAAAAACTACCTGGATTTATTTAGGGAACTCAGTAAGTTGTTTATCCACAGCAATGGGTAGGAATCTTTCCATATTAACGTATTTAATTTCTGATAATCTATACAAAATCGGGTCTTACTATTTTTCTTTTTTACTAGAACTACAGGAGAACTCTATGAGCTGTCGAACTTTTGTATTATCTTGTGCTTTAGCATTTGGTCCACTTCTTTATCGATAAATTCATTTTTGGTATGAGAATGCAATACAACCTTTGCTTAATTGGCAGAGTACTCTCTACTAATGCTAATCGATGTTCTTCCATTTTAGTTCTACCTAATTGAGTTAATCTTTCTGCAAACAAATTACCATTTTCTTCTAATAGTTCTTTTACTTTTATCCGATGTTCGTGTTTTAATTTTTCAATACCTTTGTCATTATTAACTATTTCTAGTTCTTTGTTTAGGTCTTCAACCAGGCATTCTAAAGTTTCTATATTTTTCATTATCTCTTTATAGTTCTGACATTCATCTTCTTCTTCATCTAAACGTTTTTTGTACCAACATATAGCATTTAAAACTTTTTAACAACGCTGAATTTCTTTCTCATTAAATCTCTCTTTACTTTCTTTTTTTAATTTTTCATATTCTATTATCGATTTTATTTTTCTGTTTATTGTAACATTATTTTTATTTATTTTTATAATAGGTAGCTTATCTTTATCCCTTTGCACCACATAGCTTCTTTATTTTATAGTTGTATCAGGTTTGTATTCTTCAACTGATCCATCATTACTCTTCCCTTCTTGTAAGTCTTGATTTCCTAATAATATTGGTTTTCCATATTCATACTTCATTCTTTCCCAACATGTAATTGGTGTTTTATATTTATAGTCGCTCCATTTATATTCAAAATTTCTGTGTTTTAAGTTGATTTTTTCTTTGACTTTAGCTAGCCAGTCTGTTCCCACTATTATAGCATAATCTCGCGCTTTGGTTACTTCTATGTTGATAGGTATTTCTATTCCTTTAACCTTAATAAGTAAACTTTCTACTACTCCCAACAGATGTTTTCTTTAACTATTTACATTGATTAAACTTCTTACTGATAGTTTATCAATATCCTTTCTAATTTTTTTAGAAACATATAGGAAACTAGACTCCTGCTAGATTCCATATCTAAGATTAAGTAAATAGAATACTAATCTATAGTGGCCTCACAATAGGTTACTTCTATAGGCTGCTGAGAAATGCTTTGCATTTCTATACTACTGTTTAGAACTAAAGGTGATACCAAATTATTTGGCAATGGTTAGTCCAGTAAGTTTGAACTATTAACTGAGAGATCTATTATAGTTTCATTTTTAGCATTTTCACCCTCACAAGAAGTAGCCTTGTTAGTTTAAATGCTCTCTAACTATATTAGAGATAGCACCAGTTAGGTCTTCTGCAGATATAGCGAAGTAAGTCTGGTTTTCAGTACTTTGATTCTGGGTGGGATGATTTTTGTTTGGTATATTACTATTATTATTGTTTGGCCTGTTATTGTTTTGAGTTAACCCAATCTGATTTTGATTATTACCCGAGTTGTTTGGAGAAGTTTGACGCCCATTTTGCTAGCCTCTCTACTGATTTTAATCACAATTATTTCCATTATTAGAGACACGTTTTGCCCAGGTTGGACATTTCTTTTCTATATGACCATGACCTCTATACTCATAACAAATATTATCAGAGTTGAGAGAGCAAACTTGATTGAAGTTGGGTTGGGGTATATTAGTTATTTGACTCATAACTAAATTTTTATTTTTATTTTTATTTTGTATCAGTGTTTTTATACTTTGGGCTATTTCCGAAATAGCTTTTTTTAACTCACTAATTTTATCATTTATGGGGTTTTCTCTACTTAGATAACTTCTTGTCAACAAGTAAAAATTAAGGGTTCTCCTTTGCAATACATAGCTTCTGTGGCTTTGGCTTTTTTTAAGGCTTGCTGGATAGTTGTAGGGCATTCCATTTCTACTGGCTCTCTCAGTTCTTGCCTTAGTTTATCGATAAACTGTCTTATACGGTCTACCTGGGGTACTGCTGTATTAGATTGGCCTTTTTGTAAAGTTTTTCAAAGGTGTCATAATATGTATTGACTGTTTTGTCTAATTCTTGCTGTCTTGACTACAGTTCGGACACCCATCGATTTTGTTAATACATAGTGCAGAACTGTTATTAAAACAGATAAACAAATGAGTGTTGTGGGTTTGTGTAGTTGTTTCAGGCCCAAATGTTATATGCTTTATTTCTCCGTCACGTATAAGCTATCCCTTTTAAATGAGAAAGTAATATGTCAAAACTTCTCTGTTCCAATACATGATTGGCAATATATGCCTTGTCAAACTCATTCAGCCACATAAAGGGGTTTTGGTCACTACCACTAAAGATAAGAAACTTAACTACTTTAGCTTCTCAAGATTGGTTGGTAGTATTTCCTATAGCAAGTACAAGGTTATTTATACTTTGTAATAGTTGATCCATTGGGTTTGCTACTGCAGCTCTAGGAGCTTGGTATAGCTAAGGTTGAGGTTGTTAAATGGATAGTGGATTTTGGCATGAAGGCAGGTTTATTGGTCAATTGGGCTATGGGAATTGCAAACACCTTTCTAATAGTGGTCTTTGGGGCAGTGGAGTTTGTATAGGGATAGGGGGAAGTCTTTGGGGTGAGAGGCTATTTTCTTCAAAGTATACATAAGGATTTTGTAAAAAATAATTATTCTCTAGTCAAGTTTCAGGATTCAGTAGATTTATGATATGTTCGTTTTGTACTTGAGGTCTTTAATATCCGTGGGTATAGGTTCTTTCAGCTCTCTGGCAAAGGTATCAATCTTTGTACTTTCTCTGATAATCGGTACTTCCATATAGGTTGTCAACCACCACATCATGTAGAGGTAAAAGTGGGACAGAGTTTTTCAAATCGTAAACCACTAGGCAGTGTTGTCACTCGGACCAGACTCGGACTGAACCCGGACCAGACCCGAACTGGACTCGGACTTGAACAATTAAATTTGTCCACCGGTCAAATAGCCAATTATATTTCAGTATCTCATTATAAATAAAATGAATTTAACCTTCTTCTAGTATGTCAAAAATACATCAGAATTAAATTTTAATTAATTGAAAGTAATTTTAATAAATCAATCGGGCTTATTATTAAGATGAGTAAAGTAGTTTATTATGTAAAAGAAAATTTTTAAATACTGCAGTAAAAAAAACCTTCTATCTCTTCATTTAATCTGTTTATTCTCACTTCAATAAATTGCATCTAACTCTAAGACTAACATAGCTAAGTTCAGCAATAATAACCCACTACCCAGGATACTGTAATCTAAAAATTAATATAAGTGAGTTTGCCATTTCAGTTAAAAAAACTTTTTGTACAGAGTCGCCTTTTTTTTTGCCCTAATTTATCAAAACTTTATAAACATTAAAATGAATAAAGTATTGTTTAAGTGTTTTTATGCTTTTATTATGGATTTTCATTATCAACTACTAGGCCAAACTCTACACACAGCACTTTTTTATGATGACACCAGAACAAAGAACATAACATTTATATTAGAAAAACAAGCTTTTAATTATCAGGAGCTCAAAAAAAATAGTTGATTTATATATTTTAGTTCTAACCATAATTATATAAATTAGTCAGGATGGCTTCCAAAATTCTGGTTATCTGACCAGATACATGATGCAATCAATACAAAAAGATCATTTTTAATGATTTTATACCGTATATTATATTGACACTACATATCTGTTAGATAACAGCACTTTGGGGCCATCTTGGCAATTTATATCTACATACTGTTTTATAAAAGCATTACAGAGAAATAGTATTAATATAAACTTACATGATCCTGGAAAAAATTACTAAGTTTGTATGCTTACCATTTTACAGCAGTTCTTATAAATTTTGAGACACTTTTATTCATTGCAGAAATTAAAAACTTATCGAATCGGCCAAACAATCATTTGGTCAATTTTTCGCTAAATATCTCAAAATTTGAAGAGTAGCTATAATGATATATAGTTCTAATAATAATATTTAGCATAATAGCTATTTCATAATTTCTGGAATACCTGATAAAAATTGG